CATTATTTTTCATCAATACATATTTATACCAATAAAGTTATATTGCTATAACATTTTTCAAATGTATAGGTGTCTGCCGGTATGGCAAGAGGTGAAACATTTGACGATTGGATACGCGAGATGGTGTGTGGGCCACAGTATATTGTGAAGTCATATCCGAGATTTTGTACTCGAGGATATGCATTCACAACTCAAAAGAAAAGACGTTCAAGTAAAACTTCTGATTTTGGTGTGTCGTCTGCATCAAGAGATGATGTGTACTATGGAAACATAAGCAAAATTTTGGAAATCAAGTATCCGGGCATGGTTGGGTTGCGGTGTACCGTTTTCTATTGTGATTGGTACGACAACACTGCAGATCGAGGAGTTAGAACAGATGCATTTGGTGTTACATCAGTACATTCGCGAAGAAAGCTGCAATTTTATGATCCTTTCATTCTTGCTTCTCAAGCTGATCAGGTGTATATATATATATATATATATATATATATATATATATATATATGTCAATTTAATCATATTGATTCATTCATATGTATATTACTATTACTAATTTTAAATTTTAAATTTTTTTTTTACGTTACACGTTTGTTACATCAAGTATCCTCGGGTTAGAAACAGGGATGATCCATGGGTCATTGTTACATCACTCAACCCGAGAGGTCGAGTTCAGGGAAGTTCTGATCAAGACCCCCTACAACCAAGCACATCCGGCAGCTTAAGTGCCTTAGAAGATTTAGCAAATGTTGATCTTGTAGTTGATTTAACCGACTTTGGAGACGAAGCTATTGTTCACCAAGAGGATGAACCTGTCATTGGAGAGTTTCACCAAGATACAAATTCGAGTTCATCTGGAGATGATTCATCGTCTGAAGAAGAGTAGTTTAGTTTTTTTTTTTTTTAAACACAGTTTCCGAGGAAATTCCGAGGAAACATTAGGGTTTCCTCAGAAATTCGTCGGAAATTGTGTATAAGTTTAGGATATAGAATTTGGGGTTCCAACCCTCGGTATTCCCTCGGAATATTCCGAGGACATTCCGAGGAACTGCCTTATTCCCTCGAAATTTCCTCGGAATATTCCGAGGAAATACCGACGGATTTGAGATTTTTGTACCGAAAACATCTTATTACGGTGTTAAAATATAACAATAGGACCTAAATAAATATTATTAACTGTTTTAAACAGATTATGAATCCAAATATTTGTTTGGATCACATTAATGAACATTTTCTCGATTGTATACCGATCTTCATACAACGTTAGAGAAACACTTAACACTTTAACCAACGAGAACGGTAATATTTGTAATCGATTTTGAAATTTTGTAATTTCATTTTTTATGCACATCAATGGAAAGAATCAGGAATGCTATGTTTTGAACAAGATAAAAATTGTGCAAGAAATTATTTAGGGTCTTAAAAATCAAGGTTTTGAAACCACAAACTAATATTCCTCGGAATTTCCTCGGAATTTTCCGAGGAAATTCCGACGGATCGTATCCGACCAATTAAAAGACATGCAGAGAATATTCTTGTCTTGTAACTCGATTCTGAGGAAATTTCGACGGAACTTAAAGTGGCCGTCGGAATTTCCTCGGAATATTTTCATTTAACCGGGAATTTGATCCGCCAAAATTTTCGCGAAAATCGAATTAAGTGATTTCCGACGGAATTCCGAGGAACCTTTCCGTCGGAATGTTCTGATAAATATTAATCATGGTTTCTTCTTCCCCATTTCTCTTCTCTTTCTCCAAACCATTGCCGACGCTCTCTCTCTTCCCTCTCGATATTCTCTGGCGATTTGTCCCTAAAATCTCATCAGATTCGTCCTCAAAGATGTAAGAATCCTATCCCCTTGACTTAGGTTCATTTTGATTAGGTTTTGTAATAGATTTGGTGATTTGAATGTGTGTTGATAGATTATGAGTTAGGGTGATGGGTAGATTACGAGTTTGATAGGTTAGGATTATGATATTGTTAGGATAATTTGATATATTGGATTGATTTGTAAATTTTTCTAATTTTTTTTTTATTTTTGGATTTATAAAAGATTTTTTATATGTAGGAAACCTATTTTCGGATTTAGTAAAACTATTTTTGGATTTATTAAAAATATTTTAGGATTTATTAAAATTATTTTCGGATTTATAAAACTATTTTGTATTTTT